TTTCAAATTTGGAAGATTTGTAAATTATACGTTCATTGACGTCATTTACTCTGACGTCAATAATTGTATATTGCATATTGCAATACACCCATTGGCGTCACGAAACACAGCGGCGCGGTGGCTTAGATAATTTTGGCTTGAGTGCAGAAATCAAGAAAATGTCTGAAAAATTCAATGATAGGCGACGACAAGATGATACCAACTATATGCAAATGCTAGTCGAGGGATGACTTTTTGAGGAATACTTTCAAGAGAAGAAAAATCCGTTCATACTCTAAAACTTTTGAGAGGAAGCTAAGGCAAGTGTTTTGAAGAAAGTATCCGTGGAGATAAGAATGTTAGTAACGGAAAGTAAAAGGAGAAGGTGGTCCTTCGAGCGAGTCCTGACGAAAGGGACAGCCCCGAGCATGATACGGTCCTGAATACACCACACTATTCCCCGGGGATGCATTAAGCGCTAGTGCCAGTTGATAAATCTCTATCAAGTAGGAAAAGTAATCGGTTTCCCTGTTTTCTATCCATTGGATAACGATTTTAAAAGAAAAAAGCAATGCCGAGAATTGATTTCCGCGAAGAAGCCAAGTTTTGTTTTTTCTATTTCAAGGTGGTTCAAACTTATAGTATTTTGGCTCTATTACAGAGCTATAGAAACGGAAACGATATTTTAGAGGAAGGCAAGTTCGTAATAAAAAATATAACTAGAATACTAGATAGGTAATCAGTCAGAAACAGGTCTCATTCTCTCTGTGATTACCCACTAGAGAGCAGAGCAATTAATTTTGGTTTTCCAGTGTTACTAACATTACCAAGATCTTATCACCCGATCTCTCTACCCCTCTTCAAACGGCATTTTCCTTTGTGTTTTTACTGACTTGTTTCTAGGCATAATAATCCCTATCAATTTTAATATTATTTTTTCAGCATGACCTCCGAATGAATAATTTAATTACCCCAAATTTACAACCAAATCTATTTTGGTCTCTTCTATGCATATCACCAGAACTAGATCAATACATGCATTTAACTTCTGTCTTGTAACGTGAAAATCACTGATTGCTGGCATCATTATTTCAATCTAAGTTTACAAGTCATGTGCCTTTATGAAGAAAAGTATGTCCAATTTTCCTTCACCAAGGTGACTAGCCCTTTTGTATACTTGTTTTTACATTTTGTCTACGTTTACGTTTTCACGCCACAAGCTCATCTCTCATAAGTCCTTCTCAAATAAAATCTCATTAAAAAATGAGGTCAGAGATTCTAAATCAATAACAGGGCTCAAGAGGTATTTTGAATGGTTCAGCTTACCTCCAGGCAAAAAGGTTGTAATTACCAAGTGTGAAAATTGTAAATACTTTCCGAGTGAGAGGTTTCGATGTATGCAATGTGCAGAGCCTTCGTTATGTGCACCTGGGTGTATCGTGCTGTGTAAGCAGTTACATTAATGTGTTACTCAATTTGATGGCAGTTTCCACACCGCTTGAATCTTCATAAATTTCGTGACACAGTTCCTTTAAAAGCTCACATGCCGGAGGGCCCTGACCTAGGTTCCACTCTCTAACCCTATTAATTAACACGTTAGACGAAAAAGCTACCTTTCCTTGTCTACCCTTCGCATACTTCAACTCGTGAAATGCCTACCTTTTTATATGCAGTAAGTTGGCCAAATTTCAGCCAAATTGGTTCACGGGTTGCCGACTTGGAGTTTAAAACGTACCCTCAACTTGCCCTGATTTTCATTTTCCCTTGATTTTCATTTTCAAGATTTTTGGCGTCCTATTACCCGTGATGAGATTATAACAGATTATAACACCAAAGCTGTCAATGTTGAAGCATACCAGAAAAGGGACAACAATAGTGACACAGCAGGAAAAGGTTACAAACGAAACCCGACAACAGATGAACAATTTATTTCAAAGGCTCGGCCAGATGGAAACCTGGACTGGACTGGACTCGACTCGGGGGTAATTTTTTTTATGGGGG